GTTTTGAACAATGGATGCCAACAATGGACAGAGCAAGAGGAGTAGGAGGGAGAGGCAGGGGACAACAACGAGGACAAATTCAAAGATGAAGAGTTGGAGGAGGAGGAGGAGGAGGAGGAAGAGGAAGAGGAAGAGGACGAGGGCAAAGAAGAGAAGGAAGGAGAGCCATCTCTGATGAGATTAGGGCAACACTTGTTGATCATGTGATCAACCACGGTTTGACCATGAGAGAGGCTGGACTGAGAGTCCAGCCCAACTTGAGTCGATTTACAGTGGCGTCCATAATTCGAACCTTCAGAAATGAGAACAGGTATGCAACTATCTAATGACTATTTTAGCATTAGAGTAATGTACTGTAAAATACGTATGACTGCATAGTATTGCATAAACATTTGTAACTCTAAGCCATCCATGTACTGCACTGCATTGAATGAATGAGGTTGGTTATCATGCTGTACTACATTTTTGTGTACATTGTTTACAGTTCCTATGCTGAACACATACTGTGTTTGAATTCTGTACAGAGTGGAAAGGCAAAGACATCATGGAGGACGAGGACGTTTGTTTACAGATGTACAAGAGACTGCAATTATAAATATGGTTTTGGCCAACAATGCAATTAGGATTTGAGAGATAAGAGAGCATATCTTGAATAATGACACCATATTTAACAACATCAATGCTGTAAGCCTGTCGACCATACAACGCATCCTCCAATGGCACCAAGTGACGATGAAAAAACTTTACAAGGTGCCATTTGAGAGAAACTCTGACAGAGTCAAGAATCTGCGACATTACTTTGTAGAGGTATGTATGCAACACTACTTCCAGTACTTCAGACATACCATATTTACTCATCTGTATATCCTTTTGTCTGTTACAGAGAGTATTGGAGATGGATGCCCATGTACATTTATTTATGTGGATGAGGTTGGCTTTAACCTCACCAAAACCAGGCGCCGCGGAATAAATGTAATAGGACAGAGGGCAATTACCAATGTCCCTGGACAGCGTGGGGGTAATATAACTATGTGTGCTGCCATCACTCAAAACGGGGTCCTCCATCACAATGCCACACTGGGTCCGTACAACACCGGCCATATCCTCACTTTTCTGGATGCAATTTACACAATGCTTGTCCCTGATCCATATCAGGAGCCTGCTAGATTTGTGGTTATATGGGACAATGTTAGTTTTCACCGGGCTGTTCTGGCCCAAAACTGGTTTGCCACCCATCCACAATTTGTAGTTTTGTACCTACCCCCATATTCACCTTTTCTAAATCCCATAGAGGAATTCTTTTCAGCCTGGCGCTGGAAAGTGTATGATTGCCAACCCTATGCCCGCGTGCCGCTTCTCCAGGCAATGGAGGACGCATGTGGGGACATAGAGGTTGCCTCTGTCCAAGGTTGGATACGCCATGCTAGGAGATACTTCCCTCGATGTTTGGCAAGAGAAAACGTATCTTGTGATGTGGACGAAGTATTGTGACCAGACCCAGCCCGGAGAAGAGATGAAGCGTAGCTTAGCACTGGTGACTGCCCCCCCCCCCCGCCTACCAATTCCTGGACTGCCCCCCCCCCCCCCCCCACGGACCCCACACACACTTTTGTGTTCTTTACTGTATTCTAAAGAATATACTTTTGGTTTACATATGTTTATGGTTTTGTTGTATGCTACTGTATACAACAGTAATGTTTGGCCTAATAAATATTTTCTGTTTCTACATTGCATTGGTGTTTACAGTGTACTTGTTACCCCTCTCAGCAGATTACTTTCACTGTAGAACATTGTATTGGAATGTATATATAAGCCTATGAAAGACCAAAGGGCTTTAGATTTAGAACAACAGTGTTTACATGGTATATCCAAAAATTTACTATTATGAAAGTAGTGCTTGCCATTTGATGCAAATGCTTCATTCTGACATGTGTTTATGGCATTTTGAATGAAGTGTTACATTTTGAAGGAGATGTGAGGCATTTAGCATTTTGTGTGTGCAGTTTTGGGAATTGTGTGTAGAGTTTTGAAAAAAGGAGACATAGTTTTGAAAACGTGTGTAAGCAGTTGGAAAAAACTGTAAGTAATTTAGCAGACGCTCTTATCCAGAGCGACTTACAAATTGGTGCATTCAACTTAGGATAGCCAGTGGGACAACCACATCTTGATCACAGTAACTACACTTCCGACTTTGGTAATCCGACATCCACACTGATATGTCTGCCAGACATGCAGAGATGCGATTCACCACCTGGTTATCAGAAGGGGGAAAGGAGAAAATGAATTGCGTGTTTGAAGTCACAGTCAACTTAGTGTATGTAAACTTCTCCAAACGAGCTTCAATGCCATACAACAATCCTTCAGTAGCCTTCAACTGCTCTTAAACACTAGTAAAACTAAATGCATGCTTTTCAATCGAACGCTGCTAGCACCCGCCCACCCGACTAGAATCACCACTCTCGACGGGTCTGACCTAGAGTATGTGGACAACTACAAATACCTAGGTGTCTGGTTAGACTGTAAACTCAACTTCCAGACTCACATAAAGAATCTCCAATCCAAAGTTAAATCTAGGATCGGCTTCCTATTTCGCAACAAAGCCTCCTTCACTCATGCTGCCAAACATGCCCTCGTAAAACTGACTATCCTACCGATCCTTGACTTCGGCGATGTCATTTATAAAATAGCCTCCAACACTCTACTCAGCAAATTGGATGTAGTCTATCACAGTGCCATCCGTTTTGTCTCCAAAGCCCCATACACTACCCACCACTGTGACCTGTACGCTCTTGTTGGCTGGTCCTCACTACATGTTCGTCGTCAAACCCACTGGCTCCAGGCCATCTATAAATCACTGCTAGGCAAATCCCCGCCTTATCTTAGCTCATTGGTCACCATAGCAGCACCCACCCGTAGTCTGCGCTCCAGCAGGTATATCTCACTGGTCATTCCCAAAGCCAACACCTCCTTTGGCCGCCATTCCTTCCAGTTCTCTGCTGCCAATGACTGGAACGAATTGCAAAAATCTCTGAAGCTGGAGACTCTTATCTCCCTCAACAACTTTAAGCATCAGTTGTCAGAGCACCTTACCGATCACTGCACCTGTACACAGCCCATCTGAAATTAGCCCACCCAACTACCTCATCCCTATATTGTTATTTAATTTGCTCTTTTGCACCCCATTATCTCTATTTGCACATAATCTCTTGCACATCTAGCATTCCAGTGTTAATACTATTGTAATTATTCTGCACTATAGCCTATTTATTGCCTTACCTCCATAACTTGCTACATTTGCACACACTGTATATATATTTTCTGTTAACTTCTGACCCACTGGAATTGTGATACAGTGAATTATAAGTGAAAAAATCTGTCTGTAAACAATTGTTGGAAAAATTACTTGTGTCATGCACAAAGTAGATGTCCTAACCGACTTGCCAAAACATTGACATTTACGTCATTTAGCAGACGCTCTTATCCAGAGCGACTTACAAATTGGTGCATTCACCTTATAGCCAGTGGGATAACCACTTTACAATATATATATTTTTTTTCTTTCTTTGGGGTGGGGTAAGGGGGGGTAGAAGGATTACTTTGTCCTATCCCAGGTATTCCTTAAAGAGGTGGGGTTTCAAGTGTCTCCGGAAGGTGGTGAGTGACTCCGCTGTCCTGGCGTCGTGAGGTCACGCCAACGCTCTTTGCACTCTGGGAGGAGAACACAAAGGAGTTGTCAACCGTGATGGCGAGATCATGGAACGGGCAGTCCTTCCCCGGGAGGAAGAGCAGCTCCGTCTTGCCGAGGTTCAGCTTGAGGTGGTGATCCGTCATCCACACTGATATGTCTGCCAGACATGCAGAGACGCGATTCGCCACCTGGTTATCAGAAGGGGGAAAGGAGAAGATTAGTTGTGTGTCGTCTGCGTAGCAATGATAGGAGAGGCCATGTGAGGATATGACAAAGCCAAGTGACTTGGTGTATAGCGAGAATAGGAGAGGGCCTAGAACTGAGCCCTGGGGGACACCAGTGGTGAGAGCACGTGGTGCGGAGACAGATTCTCGCCACGCCACTTGGTAGGAGCGACCGGTCAGGTAGGATGCAATCCAAGAGTGAGCCGCGCCGGAGATGCCCAACTCGGAGAGGGTGGATAGGAGGATCTGATGGTTCACAGTATCAAAGGCAGCAGACAGGTCTAGAAGGACAAGAGCAGAGGAGAGAGAGTTAGCTTTAGCAGTGCGGAGAGCCTCCGTGACACAGAGAAGAGCAGTCTCAGTTGAATGACCAGTCTTGAAACCTGACTGGTTTGGATCAAGAAGGTCATTCTGAGAGAGATAGCAAGAGAGTTGGCTAAAGATGGCACGCTCAAGAGATTTGGAGAGAAAAGAAAGAAGGGATCCTGGTCTGTAGTTGTTGACATCGGAGGGATCGAGTGTAGGTTTTTTGAGAAGGGGTGCAACTCTCACTCTCTTGAAGACGGAAGGGACATAGCCAGCGGTCAAGGATGAGTTGATGAGCGAGGTGAGGTAAGGGAGAAGGTCACCGGAGATGGTCTGGAGAAGAGAGGAGGGGATAGGGTCAAGCGGGCAGGTTGGGCGGCCGGCCATCACAAGTCGCAAGATTTCATCTGGAGAGAGAGGGGAGAAAGAAGTCAAAGCATAGTGTAGGGCAGTGTGAGCAGGACCAGCAGTGTCATTTGACTTAACAAACGAGGATCGGATGTCGTCAACCTTCTTTTCAAAATGTTTGACGAAGTCATCCACAGAGAGGGAGGAGGGGGGGGAGGGGGAGGAGGATTCAGCAGGGAGGAGAAGGTGGCAAGGAGCTTCCTAGGGTTAGTTTGTTAACAAGAAATGTGTGGAGTGGTTGAAAAACGAGTTGTAATGACTCCAACCTAAGTGTATGTAAACTTCCGACTTCAACTGTACACTACAAAAGTATCTGTCAGAGTTCACCAAAGGTAGTGGCCCACATAGCATTTTGGAGATTGGTTGCGGAAGGGATTTGTACCAACCTCAATCCTCACTTCGAGAAGTATCTGCAAAAGAGCCTGGCTGTCAATGATCACCTAAGGTTTGAATGCTGTGTGATTGCTTCGGAAGAGGATATGAGGGCAGTGAAGGATGACTCGGTGGACGTTGTCATCTGCACGCTGGTGCTGTATTCTGTCAACGACATACCGCGAACATTGCAAGAGGCACATCGCATTCTGAGGCCTGTAAGTTGATTCTCTTTAAGGTATACATTTGAGAGCTTATGCATTGGAATGGAAGCACTAGGCTAGACTAACATCCATTCTCAAATTGAAAATATTGTCCATTTGCTGTTAACATAATAAAAAGCATAATAAAATAGAATGTATCAGATAAATGTAGAAAACAAGCCTACATCTGTCTGGCATTATTCCCTTAGGATTATATAACTGAAGTCCCACTAATGTTAGGGCTTCAGGTGTAGATTGTGCAGTCTTGATGATTAAAACTACTTTCCCACGAATCATGGCAACAGTGTTACTCAGATTATCTATTGGTAACATAGCCTGAGTGCCAGTCTGTTTGTGCTATCATGCCAACTCCTTGTCACTCATTGTCATGCCAATAATGTTTGGCTTGACAATGAACAATGGAGTTGGCATGATAGCACAAACAGACTGGCACCGGCCAAACCCGGACGACACTGGGCCAATTGTGATGGCCCTATGGCGTTTCATGGCCAGTTTCATGAGACACTGGGCAATCCTGTGCCGGAGATACTATATCACTGAGCAGAAATGCACTTATATTGTGTATGTGGCTAGTTTGGAAGAGTTAATCAAACAAAAAAAACATTGGATTCAAAAAGTTTGGAATCAATTTCTTAGATTTAGTTCCAACTAAATAGTCAGTTCTAGCAGATGTAAATGTTTCTCTACTAAGCAGCGGTATGGACTGCAAGACTTTGTTACTAATGGTGAAACTTTTATTGATGTCCAACAGGGTGGTGCTCCGTACTTTCTGGAGCATGTAGAGTCAGACCCCTCCTCTTGGATATACTTCTTCCAGCACGTGCTCCAGCCGATATGGAACTACTTTGTGGTAGGATGAGAGGTTAACAGGGCAATATGGAAAGATCAGGAGGCTGCTGGGTCTCTGAGATCAAACTGAGGCACATTGAGGCACCGATAAACCTCATGATCAAACCACACATTATGCGTAATGCTGTCAAGTAAAGTCTGCAGCTACATTCTCTGGGATTAGGCCTATCCCAGCACACTGTCTGATAAGTATTGTCATGTCATGACTTGCCCTCATGGGCTGAGGATCAAAGATACCGGCCAGGCAGAGGTTTGAACACCCCCTTTCCTGGGGGCCAGTTTTATGACCAGTCGTAAATACCCAGACCAGCAAGCCCCACGGCTTAAAATGGTTGAAACTCTACAGACCAACAGACGTGAAGCGTGAGCCAAATGTTGTAAAATTGTTGAATTTCTACAAGACCAGAAAGACCAGAAAACGTGAGACGTTAGTCCACACGTTTGAAATGGAGAAACTCTGAAACTCTCAACCTTTACACGAGATGAAGAAGAAGACAATGCACTAGACCTTATCATTTCAGTCTGCAGCTGGCATGTATAGTCGTCTAGAGAACTTTCACTAAAGACACGAAGTGGGAAGGACAATCCCTCTCAGACAACCGCTGGTATATCTGAAGTATCCATTCTAACCTGCACTATGACCAGAAACTCTACCAAGGACATTGGGATCTCTGGTGGGCAAACCAGAGTCCTACATCATCAACTCAACTATCGAGGACAGTTACACGTAAATACATGTTGCATAAGTATTATGATTACTGTGAGCATAGTCTCCAAAGGAACCACGATAGCTTGAATCTCTGTCTCTCCCTTCCACTCTGACCCTCCTTCTACCCAAGCAGTCATGCGATTGTTAGTCCAGTCCACTAGGGACCTGTTTTCATTGTATTACGTCAGTAATCAATAACCTATGTTATGTTATTGTGTTATTATTTAGATAGTTAGTAAATAAATAAATAATTAAGTCAATTTGTGTATTGCTGATTCATCAGTAAGGTTGCAGGTTCAAGGATTATGCGACGTTCAGAATGAGACTGATAAGAGGTCTCCCATCTGGATTACTGCAACTCGCTGTTGGCTGGGCTCCCTGCCTGTGCCATTAAACCCCTACAACTCATCTAGAACGATGCAGCCCGTCTGATGTTCAACCTTCCCAAGTTCTCTCACGTTACCCCGCTCCTCCGCACACTCCACTGGCTTCCAGTTGAAGCTCGCATCTGCTACAAGACCATGGTGCTTGCCTACGGAGCTGGGAGGGGAACGGCACCTCCTTACCTTCAGGCTCTGATCAGTCCCTACACCCAAACGAGGGCATTGCGTTCTTCCACCTCTGGCCTGCTGGTCCCCCTACCTCTGCGGAAGCACAGTTCCCGCTCAGCCCAGTCAAAACTGTTCGCTGCTCTGGCACCCCAATGGTGGAACAAGCTCCCTCACGACACCAGGACAGCGGAGTCACTGACCACCTTCCGGAGACACTTGAAACCCTACCTCTTTAAGGAATACCTGGGATAGTATAAAAGTAATCCGTTTGTAACCAAACCCTTAGCGCAACAAGCTGGATGTTCTTTAGGGAGAGTGGGAGCTCAGAATGCCAGGAGATGAGAACCACCGCCATCTAGTGGATATAAACTCACCAATGAAAAACTCACTAATATAATAAACTCACTAATATAATAATAATAATAATATGCCATTTAGCAGACGCTTTTATCCAAAGCGACTTACAGTCATGCGTGCATACATTTTTTTGTGTATGGGTGGTCCCGGGGTTCGAACCCACTACCTTGGCGTTACAAGCGCCGTGCTCTACCAGCTGAGCTACAGAGGACCACTGTATAAACTCACTAATGCCCTATGCACATAGTCATTGAACACTGGTCACTTTAATCATGTTTACATACTATTTATAAATCTTCTGCTGTACTACATTTGTTATTTTATTTATATTTGGGACTATTGTGTGCTTGTTGACATTTACTGCATTGATTGATAGGAACTAGGAACATAAGCATTTCGCTACACCCGTCATAATACCTGATTTGATTTAATGGGCCATTTTTATCCAATGATGAGCAATGTCTGTGTCTGTATGACATGTACAGGACCAGTACATTTTTCCTGGTCAGGAAATTATTCATCTTAGTCAGGGCCAAGAGTGTTTCCTGACCCCCTTATCAAACAAAAACTCTTGGTCTTAGTCATGTTTCGTATGATTAGTCTGGAGTTTTCTCCTGGCCCTATATTTGCCACAGCCTAGCCTACACTGTACAATCACTACAGTACATTACAATAGGCAATAATAACACTGATAATAATACGAATTTTGATTTCCAATCACTGGTCTTATTATTTTATGTGAAGAAATCCCTTACTGTCCTGCTGGGTGGCTGGTGCTGGTCTGGTGTGATGAACTGGACAGTGGTAGTGATGGGCTGTCCGTGTCCACTGTCATTCCATGACAACTTCCAAAGACTTATCATATTTCTGCAGCAGACCTGTGAATTATTAGTATTAGTATGGTCCTCTGTAGCTCAGCTGGTAGAGCACGGCGCTTGTAATGCCAGGGTAGTGGGTTCGATCCTCGGGACCACCCATACACAAAAATGTATGCACACATGACTGTAAGTCGCTTTGGATAAAAGCGTCTGCTAAGTGGCATTATATTATATTATAAGTATTACCAACTTATCAAATAGAAAACATTGACTGGTTCTGTGCAATTATAAGCAGGCAAGCCTATGTTTGAGTCACAAATGGGATGTAGAGTTTTATTTGTCACAGACGGAAATACAAATGCACCCATTACACATTAGAGTCTGCTGCTGCCTATTGAAATCACTGGCCACTTTAAGAAATGGAACACTAGTCACTTTAATAATGTTTACATATCTTGCATTACTCATCTCATATGTATATACTGCATTCTATTCTATAATATTCTACTGTATCTTAGTCCATGCCGCTCTGTCATTGCTTGTCCGTATATGTATATATTCTTAAATTCCATTCCTTACTAGATTTGTGTGTATTGGGTATATGTTGTGAAATTGTTAGATATTACGGAGCTAGAAGCACAAGCATTTCGCGACACCCGCAATAACATCTGCTAAACAAATAAACATTGATTTGATTTAATGTGAAAGTGTGGTAGGTAGCATCTTTTCTTCTTCTGAAAGTGTTTCCCCAGACCAATGTGTGAGTTTATGCAAACTAACAATCCAACACCAGGTTTACAGATAAATTGTGGTTGAATATCTTTACATTTAAAAGTTGTTCATAGGTTTATGTGATGATTACCTGATGTGTGTACACTGCTTCTAAACATTACAGTGGCCATAACATACCTGTAACATAATCAAAGACAGCTAAGCAGACAGATATACAAGATAGGCAAAGCCGGGTAAAGTAGGAGCTGACGTAATAAGTTAGTCATCTAAAAGAGGGAGATTTCAATGACAGCATTGAGAATTTCCCTCTGTTCAGTAGGCTAGAGAGCAAGCCTAATCACACATGGCTGGTATACAGGCATGAACAAACAGAGCAAAGAATGAGGGGAAAGGGGCAATAGTAGCTAAAAATAGTAGCTAATAATAGTAGCTAATAATAGTAGCTAATAATAGTAGCTAATGCATTTCAGAAGATAAGGTGCCTTTATTCTATTCAATTGACATGTGCACTTACGCCTATGGAACAAAATCGAATTTCTACAGTGCACGGTCATGTACACAGTGATGTAAAGTACTTAAGTAAAAATACTTTGAAGTACATTTTACATTTAAGTCATTTAGCAGACGCTCTTATCCAGAGCGACTTACAGTTAATGAGTTTCAAGTACTGCTTAAGTAGTTTTTTGGGGTATCTGTACTTTACTATTTATATTTTGGACAACTTTTACTTTTACTCCACTACATTCCTAAAGAAAATATGTACTGTTTGTACCCATATATTTCCCCTGAAACCCAAAGTACTCTTTACATTTGGAATGCTCAGGCAGGACAGCAATATGAGCCAATTCACACACCTATCAATATAACACATTGTCAGCTCTACTGCCTCCGATCTGGCGGACTCACTAAACACAAATACTGTGTTTGTAAATTTGGTCTGAGTGTTGGAGTGTGCCGTTGTCTGTTCATAAATTAAAAGTACAATACATTTGTGCCGGATGGTTTGCTTAATATAAGGAATTTGATGTATAACATTTGCTTTTACTTTTACTCAAGTAAGAAAATGAAGTACTTTTTCCACCACTGTACTTAAGTACATTTTAAACCAGATACTTTTAGACTTTTACTCAAGTAGTATTTAACTGGGTGCCTTTCACTTTTACTTGAGTATTTTCCATTAAGGTATCTTTACTTTTACTCAAGTATGACAGTTGAGTACTTTCTCCACCACTGCATGTACATGCCATTTCTACAGTGCAGGTCATTGAACAGGGAAACTCCACAGCCAGTGTTATAAAGGTTCACAATAAACTAGAGGTGTCCCAATACTTGGACAATATCAAAATATTAGGCCTAACCCACAGTGACTAAGGATAATCATTTTTGAAGAAAAATGTGTGGATTAAAAAAATCATTTGGCCAGAAAATTAGAATTCTATAGACTATGACTGAGTCACATTAAAACTGTTTGTTGGTATTGGTATTTTATTAGGATCCCCATTTGCTGTTGCAGTAGCAGCAGCTACTCTTCCTGGGGTCCACACAAAACATGAAACATGAAATAATACAGAACATTTATAGACAAGATCATGTAATTCTGTGATGGCTACTATAATATCTAAATGTTTTGCCTTTAATGCTGAACTGTAAAAAAAACATATCCCCTGCTCACGCATGTCAGGCCTACGCCATAGGGCCAGACAGGTCCAATGGCGACATCAACAGGCCAACTAAGCCCAAACTAATATTGTCATGCGTACCAGTTCTTGATTGGTGGTCCCTGAAACACACCCACTCTCGACACATTTTTTAAAAAGCGACTAGCGACAAATCTAGCGACTTTTTCTGGTGTTATTGGAGACTCTGACGTGAAAGCACGTATCGTTCTTACTCTTCTCAACGAGCAGCGGGTGCTTTGTTACCCCGTCCCAAAGCACTCACAGGCGGCCCAGTCCTCGCGCAGCAGTCCCTCCCAGCTGCAGTCAGAGCAGGAGATGTTCACCACTCCGTGTCCAGACTGCAAATGAATCGCGCATGCGGGAAGCCACGGCTGGCTGATCCCGCCCTGGCTTAGATTCAGGGCGGGATGTTTTTTACTCACTTTTTGTCTCTCCCACAACGTTATTCCTCTCTCCTACAGCGTCCATCACAATTACATGCACATGGCCAATTACGCAAAGTAGGTGATGGCGTCATTTAGCGACTTCTAGCGACTTTTAGGACAGCCAATAGCTACTTTCCTTACTGAGGAGTTGGCAACATTGAGTCTGCACAAACGAGCTGGCGGCAGTACACTTTTTGGGATGTAGGTCGACAATAAAACCTTAAAGAAGAAAAAGAAGTGCACAAATGCAAAATGACTGTTTTTATGAATTTCTTTATGCTTATTTTCAAGCTAGTAACCTTGCCCCTCTAATTAATGGAGGCAGTTGGCATATATGGCATCTACAAGCGTTTCTTTCCATTTCTTGTTTACAAGATATCTTTCACCTACAACAAAAAAATGCACGACAAAAAGAAGGACCTTTTCAGCGATCTCTCAGAGTTCACGGTTGGCAGTGGCCCACTTCGCATATTGAGGCCTGTAAGTTGATTATCTTATTTACATTGGAAACATATGAGCGTTTATGCATGGGAATGGAAGCAGTAGGCTACATCCATTCTCAAATTGAACATATTGGCCATGGTCTCAGCTTTCAGCATAATACAATTCAGTCTTTCAGAAATGCGAGGTCTGTCAACAGATATTACATAACTGAGGTCCCAACTAATTTAGATTAGATAGAGGTGTCTTGACGATTAAACCACTTTCCTACGAATCATGGCAACAGTGTTACTAACCGGTACACCCTGTATATAGCCTCCCTACTGTTATTTTATTTTACTGCTGCTCTTTAATTATTTGCTATTTAAATTTTTTACTGAACACTTTTTTATATTTTCTTAAAACTGCATTGTTGGTTAAGGGCTTGTAAGTAAGCATTTCACTGTAAGGTGTTGTATTCGGCGCATGTGGCAAATAACATTTGATTTTATTTGAAAATGATGTATTTTAGGAGCCAAAATGGCAACACTAACTTTCAATTTGCATTATAAACGTTGTCCATCTCACAAAGTTCTGAAACCAAGCCTATGTCGAGTTGTGGTTTTAATAAATGATTAATAGTAGCCTATAGGTTTTGCTGATAGCTGCTTTATTGAGGAACATTTTTATATGAATCTATGGCTGTTTGCTACATTACATCTTTTGGACTTTTTTAATTGATTCTTGAAATAAATGCCTAATGAGTTTAGTGCATCTGTAATACCTCATCAGAACCCAAAATATACGCTTGTTTTACTCTATTGTTTGTGACCAATGTAATTGTAAACAAACGTTGTATAGCCTCAACACTGGTTAAAACTACACATTTTATATCATGGATGGTCAGTCCTTGCATCCATAGCATCTGTCTATAAATTTGAGAGGGGTTACATTTCTCCATCCCTCGACTCTTTACCAAAACAGTGGCGGGGTGCCTGCTTTGTTATTGTTTGAACTGAATGCACTGTTTAAAAATGAATGCTCTGGATAAGAGCGTCTGCTAAATAACTAAAATGTACATGTGAAATGTAATATGGGAAGCTGCAATGAGCTATCCAGCCAGCAATTTTATGTTGCACTACAATCAGCATTTCAACTGATCAAAGCTTTATGATTAGTTGATTATTTGAATCAGCTGTGTTGTGCTAGGGCAAAAGCCAAAACGTGCACCCCTTGGACTGAGTTTGGGAAACACTGCTGACTACATGCACTGTAACTACTGTAAGTCAATTTAGCTGATTGAATCAGTAACTTCACGAGGTGCTGGGCCACGAACACACCACTGTGCAGGGTACTTGTACCACTGAACCCAAATGCCCTTGTGGCTATGGCTAGATTTAGAATACTTTGTTATTATGTTTATAAGTTGACTAAATAGTCAGTTTTAACTACGCTCTACTGACTGTGAATTTTTCTACTAAACAGTGCAATCTTTCTATGTTCTGCTGAATGGAGGTTTGGAAAAAAATACTTACCACTGGTAACTTTTATTGTTGTCAATGTCCAACAGGGTGGTGCTCTGTACTTCTTGGAGCATGTAGTGGCGGACCCCTCCTATTGGATATATTTCTTCCAGCATGTCCTCCAGCCGATTTGGTACTACTTTGGGGATGGATGTGAGGTAGTCAGGTCGACATGGACAGATCTGGAGGCTGCTGGGTTCTCTGAGCTCAAACTGAAGCACATCGAGGCACCACTCAACTTCATGATCAAACCACATATTATGGGCCATGCTGTCAAGTAAAGGCCTATCCCAGCAACTGTTTGACAAATATTGTCAACGCCTATGTATTCAGTGTGAATTTCTTGGTCATTGCTTTTGTTATTTACTTGTGCATAAATGTAATTAAACTGGCTTAGAAAATAGGAATGGCATACGTATACTGAACAAAAATATCAACACAACATGTAAAGTGTTGGTTCCATGTTTCATGAGCTGAAATAAAGTGAGCATTTCTCATTTGTCAAGATAATCCATCCACCTGACAGGTGTGGCATATCAAGAAGCTGATTAAGCAGCATGATCATTACACAGGTGCACCTTGTGCTGGGGACAATAAAAGACCAATCTAAAATGTGCAGTTTTGTCACACAACGCAATGCCACAAATATCTCAAGTTTTGAGGGAGCGTGCAATTGGCATGCTGACTGCAGAAATGTCCCCCAGAGCTGTTGCTAGATAATTACATTTCTCTACCATAAGCCATCTCCAACATTGATTTAGAGAATTTGGCAGTACATCCAACTGGCCTCAAAACCACAGACCATGTGTAACCACGCCAGGCCAGGACCCCCACATCCGGCTTCTTCACCTGCGGGACAATCTGAGACCAGCCACCCGGAGAGCTGATTAAACTGTGGGTTTACACAACCGAAATATTTCAGCAAAAACTGTCAGAAACCATCTCAAGGAAGCTCATCTGCGTGCTCGTCGTCCTCACCAGGGTCTTGACCTGACTGCAGTTTGGTGTCGTAACCGACTTTAGTGGGCAAAAGCTCAACTTCGATGGCCACTGGTACGCTGGAGAAGTGTACTCTTCACGGATGAATCCCGGATGAATGCAATAGCTCCATCATGAGGCAGGATGAAAAGCTACCAGATTAGCACCTTCCTCCTGAACCGCCCTGATCCCTGTATCACCTTGCTATTAGCTAAATCCTACCTCACCTAGACTGCCTGCAGTGTGCTTCTTTTGTTCACATGGGAGGTTTCACCGGGAAAATGACACATCTTATGATGAACTTCTGCAAGTTAATATGTTTGGCGATAACCTTACCCCTCCAACTAATAGAGTTTGTGGGTTTATATGGCATGTACAAGCGTTTGTTTCCGCTTCTTGCTTACAATATAACTTTTTCATACAACGACAAAATGCACGAAAACAAGAGGAACCTTTTCCGAGACTTGTGCAAATTCTGCAACACGGACGGTACACTTCGACTTCTGGAGATTGGCTGCGGTAGTGGGGCCAACTTCAAATACTATCCATACGGATGCACGGTCATTTGTACAGACCCCAACCCTCACTTTGAGAAGTACCTGCAGATGAGTATGACAGCAAGCAACCACCTGACCTATGAAAGCTTTGTGGTTGCCTCAGGAGAGGACCTGAGTGTAGTGCAAGATGAGTCTGTGGATGTTGTTGTCTGCACGCTTGTGCTGTGTTCTGTCAACAACGTGCCACAGGTACTGGAAGAGGCAAGACGGATACTCAGAAAAGTGAGTTAATAGTTTCAGCTAGTAGGTTATGTGTGTCAGGCAAGGGAGACGTAGCCTGCCCTATAGGCCTAATAAGAGTTATTGTTCCAGCAAAATGATAATTGAGCTCTACTGTACATTTCAGACTCCAATAGTGAATTGAGAGTGCTCTAACTTGCCCCATGTTGTCCTTGTGTTAAAAGTTAAGCTTGTAGCGACGTTAAGTCTTAAGTATTTTTAGACACCTAAAGCTTGTGACAAATCCCTTGTCTGTAAACAAGAGGTGTGTGAAACCACCCAACACAGTATAAACACCTTGCCTAACCAAGCCATGTAATTATATCAATGTTATCAATATTTTTACACATGTAGCCTAGGCTTTCTACTATGTCTTACATTTGGGTTAAGCCAAGCACATTTGACCAAGTCTACCAAACATTCGATTTGATATCTGGTGGTTGGGTGGGACTGGGATAGATAGTGATATGTACGTTTTTGTAAAGTTTCCCATTGCCTTTTCAGTCACCAGATCAGACACCTACAGTTGAAGTTGGAAGTTTACATACACTTAATTTGGAGTCAGTAAAACTAGTTTTTCAACCACTTCACACATTCCTATTTAACAAACTATAGTTTTGGCAAGTCGGTTAGGACATCTACTTTGTGCATGACACAAGTCATTTTTCCAACAATTGTTTACGGACAGATTATTTCACTTATAATTCACTGTATCACAATTCCAGTGGGTCAGAAGTTTACATACACTAAGTTGACTGTGCCTTTAAACAGCAGAAAATTCCAGAAAATGATGCCATGGCTTTAGAAGCTTCTGATAGGCTAATTGACATAATTTGAGTCAATTGGAGGTGTACCTGTGGATGTATGTCAAGGCCTACCTTCAAACTCAGTGCCTCTTTGCTTGACATCATGGGAAAATCAAAAGAAATCAGCCAAGACCTTAGAAAAAAATTGTAGACCTCCACAAGTCTGGTTCATCCTTGGGAGCAATTTCCAAACGCCTGAAGGTACCACGTTCATCTGTACAAACAATAGTATGCAAGTATAAACACCATGGGACCACGCAGCTGTCATACCGCTCAGGAAGGAGACGCATTCTGTCTCCTAGAGATGAACGTACTTTGTTGCGAAAAGTGCAAATCAATCCCAGAACAACAGCAAAGGACCTTGTGAAGATGCTGGAGGAAACAGGTACAAAAGTATCTATATCCACAGTAAAACGAGTCCTATATCGACATAACCTGAAAGGCCGCTCAGCAAGGAAGAAGCCACTGCTCCAAAACTGCCATAAAAAAGCCAGACTACGGTTTGCAACTGCACATGGGGACAAAGATCTTACTTTTTGGAGAAATGTCCTCTGGTCTGATGAAACAAAAATAGAACTGTTTTGCCATAATGACCATTGTTATGTTTGGAGGAAAAGGGGGGTAATTGCAAGCCGAAGAACACCATCCCAACCGTTCGGCACAAGGGGTTGGCAGCATCATGCTGTGGGGGTGCTTTGCTGCAGGTGGGACTGGTGCACTTCACAAAATAGATGGCATCATGAGGAAGGAAAATTATGTGGATATATTGAAGCAACATCTCAAGACATCAGTCAGGAAGTTAAAGCTTGGTTGCAAATGGGTCTTCCAAATTGACAATGACCCCAAGCATACTTCCAAAGTTATGGCAAAATGGCTTAAGGACAACAAAGTCAAGGTATTGGAGTGGCCATCACAAAGCCCTGACATCAATCCTATAGAAAATGTGTGGGCAGAACTGAAAAAGCGTGTGTGAGCAAGGAGGCCTACAAACCTGACTCAGTTACACCAGCTCTGTCAGGAGGAATGGGCCAGAATTCACCCAACTTATTGTGGGAAGCTTGTGTAAGGTTACCCAAAACGTTTGACCCAAGTTAAACAATGTAAAGGCAATGCTACCAAATACTAATTGAATGTATGTAAACTTCTGACCCACTGGGAATGTGATGAAAGAAATAAAATCTGAAATTAATCATTCTCTCTACTATTACTCTGACATTTCACATTCTTAAAATAAAGTGGGGATCCTAACTGACCTAAGACAGGGCATTTTTACTAGGATTAAATGTCAGGAATTGTGAAAAACTGAGTTTAAATGTATTTGGCTAAGGTGTATGTAAACTTCCGACTTCAACTGTAGCTACTTTTGATTGATTTGACTGGTTTTGTGAAATGAGAATAGAATTTACCCATTTGTTGTCCAACAGGGTGGTGCTCTGTACTTTCTGGAGCATGTAGAGTCAGACCCCTCCTCTTGGATATACTTCTTCCAGCACGTGCTCCAGCCGATGTGGTACTACCTGGGGGATGGCTGCGTGGTTACCAGGGCAACATGGAGAGATCTGGAGGCTGCTGGGTTCTCAGAGTTCCAGCTCAGACACATTGAGGCTCCGCGGGTCACTTTCATGATCAAACCGCACATCCTCGGATATGCCATCAAGTGAACTCTGGGGGGGGTGGGGGGGGTTCTGATAACTCTACATTAACATAATGTGTAAACTTGTTCTTCAACTGTTCTCTTTTTTAATTTACAGTTTGACTTTTTATCTACATATTTTATACCCTGTCTGACCTAATAAATAACTTTTCTATAAAGATTTGGCCAATATTAAGCAATATTTCTTAACTGTGAATTAAAGCCACTTCCTGCTATTCACAACTTATTTGCCATTCAGTTTAGGAATTAATGAAATGGACTAGGTTGCAGTAACAACAGAGTTGCTATAACTGTATACTACTACTCTCTACACAGCCCATGCAAGCAGCCAGTGCATGTTTCTTTGGGTGCAGTTGTAAGTACATGGCCGTCACAACACTGAAGAGTGAATCATAATTCCTTGGACCTTCATGGCTTGAGGTCCCCAGTGGAGATTGTAGCTGTTGAATGTGTTTTTAGATAGTGTTTTTAGCAGGCTCCTTCTCTGTTGGAAGGTCTTGTCTTCTATAGCCAGTAGTATATACAATGCTCCATTCTACTCTTTGTTTAAGTAAAGCTATTCACTCCCATGTGAGGCCTCTGTCGATAATAGCGTTTCCACCTATACATCCATTCACTTGACAGGCTTCCATTGACCCAGGTTTATTCGACAAAATCAATATCGCAAAAAAACAAAAAACAAAAAAATGTGTAATGGAAACTGCAGGTAGGCTAAATGTTCTAAAGATCGACATTTTTATCTGTTCGACCAGGGTGGATTTTTATTTTGTCTAACTTTATTGCGAGAAATGATGATAGAAACTCAATTTTTAGAATATATTATGATTGCCGAATAATCTTGAAGGTATGCGGAGCACATAATGTCAACCTCAGAGCTCCACTCCACCTGTAATTCTAAATGCCTACTGCTTGCAAAATAAAACAATTTTTTTACTTTTAAAATAATGTTTATTTGCAGGACAAGTATTGTCCTGACTTTCAAGAATGCCTGAATTGCTTCGCCTTTCTTTTCTGGTTGGCTGGTAAGTTTCACCATCCAATTATTTCAGAACTATATGAGTGCAAGTTTTACCATGGCTCGGACCATGGCGAAACGTTGAATATAAAAAATTTGTCAATTATTGCATTATTATATCCATGCTGTCTTTCGCGGGCAACCTGAGACATGAAACTTTGCCTTCATAAAGCATTCACACCCCTTGACTTTTTCCACATTTCGTTGCGTTACAGATTGAATTTAAAATAGATTAAATTGAGATATTTTTCTCACGGACCCTAAACACAATACCCCATAATGTCAAAGTAGAATGATGTTTTTTGAAATTGTTACAAATTATTTAAAAATGAAAAGCTGAAAAGTTTTCAACCCCTTTAAAGCAAGCCTAAATAAGTTCAGGAGTAAAAATGTGCTTAACAAGTCATATGAGTTGCATGGACTCACTGTGCGCAATAATAGTGTTTAACATGATTTTTGAATGACTACCTCATCTCTGTACACCACACATACAATTATCTGTAAGGTCCCTCAGTCCAGCAGTGAATTTCAAACACAGATTCAACCACAAAGACCAGAGAGGTTTTTCAATGCCTCACAAAGAAGGGCAACTATTGGTAGATGGGTAAAAAAAATTAAGCAGACATTGAATACCCTTTGAGCATGGGTACGTTATCAATTACACTTTGGATTGTGTATCAATACACCCAGTCACTACAAAGATACAGGCGTCCTTCCTAACTCAGTTGCCGGAGAGGAAGGAAAACGCTCAGGGATTTCACCATGAGGCCAACAGTTACATGGCTGTGATAGGAGAAAACTGAGGATGGGTCATTGTAGTTACTCCACAATACTAACCTAATTGACAGTGAAAAGAAGGAAGCCTGTACAGAATAAAAATATTCCAAAACATGCGTCCTGTTTGCAACAAGGCACTAAAGTAATACTGCAAAAAATGTGGCAAAGCAATTCACTTTTTGTCCTCAATACAAAGTGTTATGTTAGGGCCAAATCCATTACAACACATTACTGAGTACCACTCTCCATATTTTCAAGCATAGTGGTGGCTGCATCATGTTATGGGTATGCTTGTAATTGTTAAGGACTGGGGAGTTTTTCAGGATAAAAAAGAAACTGAATGGAGCTAAGCACAGGCAAAATCCTAGAGGATAACCTGGTTTAGTTTGCTTTCCAGCAGTCAGCAGGACAATAACACAAGGCCAAATCTATATTGTAGTTGCTTACCAAGAAGACAGTTAATGTTCCTGAGTCGCCAAGTTAGTTTTGACTTAAATCTACTTGAAAATCTATGGCAAGACGCAGTGGCGACCCGTCATTCAGCCCCACCTGTTTAGCAGTTTTTTTGTTGCCTGTTTTGCATGTTATTTTGGCATTAATACGTGTCACATATCAGTTTGCAAACAATGTAAAAAATAATAATCATGAAGTTAATAAAGCTGCATACAAACATGGTCTCTTTTTTGCTTCCTTGAGTAAAGCAGCTCCAAAATGCAGGTGTTTCAGCCTAGCACAGTGCTTTCTGTGGTGGTGGGGCAGTCAGCGGAAAATACACAGCGTAGGGGTTGGTAATGTTAATAATAATAATAATAATAATATGCCATTTAGCAGACGCTTTTATCCAAAGCGACTTACAGTCATGCGTGCATACATTTTTTGTGTATGGGTGGTCCCGGGGATCGAACCCACTACCTTGGCGTTACAAGCGCCGTGCTCTACCAGCTGAGCTACAGAGGACCTCTAGTTGTCACTCATGGGGACACTACGTCACCGCAAAATCTACAGGGAGAGCTAGAAAGTTCAAGCCCCTTGGGTGCTGCCATAGATTAACATTAGAAGTGCCCATCCAAAGCTCATTGGCCACAGATAAAATGACGTCAAATCACGTTATATCTGCTGTAGCTTTGATTGGACTGATCATGTCAACAATCATACTTAGCTAGCAAGCTAGACAAGCAGTCATCATCATGAATCAGGTCGACAATCTACTGGCAAATCCTTTTCAATCCTTGTCATATGAAGATAAATTATAGATAAAACGTATCGGTGCTCATCGGCCATTGGACATAAACATTATACAGCAAGTTTGAAATCGCAATTTCAACAATGAGTGGTTTGGAAGGAACCAGTGGCTAACTGCAAGCATTGCAAAGCAATCACAAGCCTGCTATTCGGTGGAGAGGGTGTGTGGTCCAAGTCTGGGTTTAAGGGTCTCTTTTCCAAGCTTAAAAGGATAAACATTCATATGCAACACCATCGGCCAGAAAGGTTGAATACATTGGCCATGCTGTCAATCCAGCTTGACTTCTGCCACGTTCAAAACAACTGGAAACTCGGAACTGGGAAATCTTAGACTTCAGTGAGTTCAAGACAACTGGGAACTCTGAAAAAAACTTTTTTAACGGTCATCCTACTCGGAATTCAAAGTCGGGAACTCTGGCCTCTTTCTAGAGCTCCGTCCAGAAGATCGTGAACGTCATGATTTGAACTGTTTCCGAGTTCCCAGTTGTCATGAAAGCATCATAAATCCACAGAATGCCAGACTTTGATGATAAAGTTTGATGACAAAATTTGCCCACAAGAAGGTCCGCCGCGCCACCTTCCTGTTCAAGTGAGCACAGCACAACAAGGTGAGTCCAAAAATGTATTGTATGCTGCTGCATAAATTATGTAATATCTTTTCGAGAAATGTAATCATCAAATATTTTAAGCACTTTCATTGTCTGCTTACAGTGAGGGAAAAAAGTATTTGATCCCCTGCTGATTTTGTACATTTGCCCACTGACAAAGACATGATCAGTCTATAATTTTAATGGTAGGTTTATTTGAACAGTGAGAGACAGAATAACAACAACAAAATCCAGAAAAACGCATGTGAAAAATGTTATAAATTGATTTGCCTTTTAATGAGGGAAATAAGTATTTGACCCCTCTGCAAAACATGACTTAGTACTTGGTGGCAAAACCCTTGTTGGCAATCACAGAGGTCAGACGTTTCTTGTAGTTGGCCACCAGGTTTGCACACATCTCAGGAGGGATTTTGTTCCACTCCTCTTTGCAGATATTCTCCAAGTCATTAAGGTTTCGAGGCTGATGTTTGGCAACTCAAACCTTCAGCTCCCTCCACAGATTGTCTATGGGATTAAGGTCTGGAGACTGGCTAGGCCACTCCAGGACCTTAATGTGCTTCTTCTTGAGCCACTCCTTTGTTGCCTTGGCCGTGTGTTTTGGGTCATTGTCATGCCGGAATACCCATCCACGACCCATTTTCAATGCCCTGGCTGAGGGAAGGAGGTTCTCACCCAAGATCTGACGGTACATGGCCCCGTCCATCGTCCCTTTGATGCGGTGAAGTTGTCCTGTCCCCTTAGCAGAAAAACACCCCCAAAGCATAATGTTTCCACCTCCATGTTTGACGGTGGGGATGGTGTTCTTGGGGTCATAGGCAGCATTCCTCCTCCTCCAAACACGGCGAGTTGAGTTGATGCCAAAGAGCTCCATTTTGGTCTCATCTGACCACAACACTTTCACCCAGTTCTCCTCTGAATCATTCAGATGTTCATTGGCAAACTTCAGACGGGCATGTATATGTGCTTTCTTGAGCAGGGGGACCTTACGGGCGCTGCAGGATTTCAGGTTTCACGGCGTAGTGTGTTACCAATTGTTTTCTTGGTGACTATGGTCCCAGCTGCCTTGAGATCATTGACAAGATCCTCCCGTGTAGTTCTGGGCTGATTCCTCACCGTTCTCATGATCATTGCAACTCCACGAGGTGAGATCTTGCATGGAGCCCCAGGCCGAGGAAGATTGACAGTTCTTTTGTGTTTCTTCCATTTGCGAATAATCGCACCAACTGTTGTCACCTTCTCACCAAGCTGCTTGGCGATGGTCTTGTAGCCCATTCCAGCCTTGTGTAGGTCTACAATCTTGTCCCTGACATCCTTGGAGAGCTCTTTGGTCTTGGCCATGGTGGAGAGTTTGGAATCTGATTGATTGATTGCTTCTGTGGACAGGTGTCTTTTATACAAATAAAAAACTGAGATTAAGAGCACTCCCTTTAAGAGTGTGCTCCTAATCTCAGCTTGTTACCTGTATAAAAGACACCTGGGAGCCAGAAATCTTTCTGATTGAGAGGGGGTCAAATACTTATTTCCCTCATTAAAATGCAAATCAATTTATAACATTTTTGACATGCGTTTTTATGGATTTTTTTGTTATTATTCTGTCTCTCAGTGTTCAAATAAACCTACCGTTAAAATTATAGACTGATCTTTTCTTTGTCAGTGGGCAAACGTACAAAATCAGCAGGGGATCAAATACTTTTTTCCCTCACTGTATATGCCCCCTTTATTTATCCTACGGTTCTGACTTGGTGTACAGGGAGAACACTGTAAGAACGGCCCATGTTCTGAATTCTGTCACTGTACATTTCAAAAGTGCTGGACAAATAGTTATGACTATGTCCGTTTTAGCTCTTCTTAATCGAAATTACAGATAGCCTCTTATCCGCTCATCGTTCCCTAATGCTATAGTTTGTACATCTCAATTGTCAGTAGAAACCACATTTGTTTAAGCAAGTCAGCCATATCAGCTGTTTTTTTAAAAGGCAGTAAATGAGGCTGAATTAACTGTTTCGCTGCCAGACAAGGCTCTGCTGATCGCCAGGTGTAGTGGTGGTAAGGATTCACTCCATGGTGCTGAAAAGAAAGCTCTGCAGTTGGGACAGCTTTATGTAGGCCCTAACAGTTTGTGGGCACTGTTTGTCACCATTATAGTGCAATTCATGTTTTGTTTAGTGATGTGCTGTGTAGTTTGGCCCCCCAAGATCTTTTTGTGTCAGTAAAATTAATTATGCGAGAAATGGTGGTGGAAATGCCGTTATGCGCAAATATTGATATAATAACCATCATATCGAAGTAAACTTGGAGTCACATAATGATATGGTGTGTGGTCCTCCCACTATGACTCGGGAAACCATGCAGTTTATTAGGTTACAGATTAAATTATGTTGAACTTCACAGGGTGGTGAAAGTGCACAGTGATCTTGACGCTCCTTTCTAATATCGAGGGTCATATTTTGGTGACATGATGATTGATGCTTAACTGCCTTTTGACGAATACAAATATTCTCGCTCTTATCCATAATAATCTCATAATGTAGACTAGCCTACCAGCATTGTATCTGCACGCTTTTAAAATATTAGCATAAATCTGTCCGCCAATTGGATGGAAACCTAGGTAGAGATCACAAGAGGTCGTAGTATATCCATAACCTCAAATACTTGTCACTAAATGGGGGCGACTGGAATAATTTTAGTCGCCCCCATTTACACTTCGTTTTTGACTAAAAGATCCCTTTAAGACTGGTTTTGCAATAAAATGCACTTTCAATTGAACATGCCTTTTAGTCCAGGGGTGTATTCACTTGGAACCAAACCAGACGTGGAGGGACCTACCTGAATTTGTCCAATAGAAACTCTCGTTATCGTTGCAAAACAGAACATTTTGCAACTGTTTGGATGTATTAATTACACTGATTATTTTAAAACAGTCTGTTGCAAAACGTTTTGCAACAGAAACCGTTTACTCCAAACGGAAAACCTTTCACAACAAAAATGAGTGTTTCTATTGAACAAATTCAGGTAGGTCCCTCCCAGTTTCGTTCGCTTCCGTTTACTTCTTAAACGGTAAACGGTTTCTGTTGCAAGAAGTAATGAATACATCCCAGGAAACAAGTCCAAGAGTGAGCCCCCAAATACATTTTGGGTATAACTTTTCTTTTTTTAATCCCCAGTGAATAATCTGAGACTGAATTTGTGAAAAATATTTATTTCCATTTACAGAATGAGAGACATTGCTTTCCCTCTTTTTGTTTGATTTGCTCATCCCCCTCACCCTCTACAGAAATATAAAATAAATATTACCCTGACATTGCGTGATTGTCTTAGTAACAGCCAATTCAGCCTTACACAATGTTATATTTTCAAACACCCCTTACATCTCTCTGGACAAGGGTAAGGAATGAGACTTGTAACATTTCCTCATGGGGGAAAGAAAGGGGGGTGGGGGTGGAAATAGCTGGTTCACATAAAAGATACACCATGCAATAAGATACATGAATTGTAACCATACAATAACAATTTGGCTGCAAATTGTTTGATGTTAAAAACAGCAGATTGATCCTACTGCTACACTTTTCTTTAAACAAATTGGGGGGGGAACATAAGGAGCTGATTCTGGCAAAGGGGGACACAATTGGAAATTGAATGTCAATGATAAAGCTCACAATTCACGCCTCCCATGTGCTCATAAAATATACACAAATATAAACATTTAAGCGTTAGTTATCCAATCCATTAGCTAAAAAAAAAATACTTTGATTAAAAACAGCCAACCTCTCTTTCACACCCTTTCATTGTCTTTTATATGGACACATCCCATTGCCACCGCCCGCGACACGTTTGTTAAAACAAAGAGTATAAAACAAACTGAGGAGGGTGATTTCAGGTCTGAAATGAAAGGTGTTCCCCGGTTAACCCCGCATTGTCCATGTGGCAGAGCAGAGCCGCTCGCTGACGGTAAAAGTCCCGCTTGCTGGCTGGCTTCTCTTCTTGTCCTCCTTGTTATCCTGTTTTGACACAGTATAGGTCCTTTAACGTCTTGAGTTCCTCAATGAGAGTCTTGTTCTGGTTCTCCAGCACGGCCACACGGTTCTCGAGACACTTGACGTATTCCTTCTTCTTCCTGCGACACTCACGTGCCGCTTCCCTGCCAGGGAGAAACACAGAAAACTGCTTTAGAGGATTACATTTAAAGGGATACTGTTAGATTTAGGTCGTCGTTCTACTTACCCAGAGTCACATGAGCTCATGGATACAATTTTTATGTTTCTACGTACCGTTTGTACATTATTTAAGTTAGCAAATCGTTAGCTTAGCGCAATTGCTGGAAGTCTCCATGTACAGTAGCCAGCTCCTCTCAAAAGCAGGGAAATAGACCTACAGTTGAAGTCGGAAGTTTACATACACCTTAGCCAAATCCATTTAAACTCAGTTTTTTTACAATTCCTGACATTTCTATCCTAGTAAAAATTCCCTGTCTTAGGTCAGTTAGGATCACCACTTTATTTTAAGAATGTGAAATGCAGAATAATAGTAGAGAGAATGATTTATTTCAGCTTTTATTTCTTTCATCACCTTCCCATTGGGTCAGATGTTTACATACACTCAATTAGTATTTGGTAGCATTGCCTTTAAATTGTTTAACTTGGGTCAAACGTTTTGGGTAGCCTTCCACAAGCGTCCCACAATAAGTTGGGTGAATTTTGGCCCATTCCTCCTGACAGAGCTGGTGTAACTGAGTCAGGTTTGTAGGCCTCCTTGCTCGCACACGCTTTTTCAGTTCTGCCCACAAATTTTCTATAGGATTGAGGTCAGGGCTTTGTGATGGCCACTCCAATACCTTGACTTTGTTGTCCTTAAGCCATTTTGCCACAACTTTGGAAGTATGCTTGGGGTCATTGTCCATTTGGAAGACCCATTTGCGACCAAGCTTTAACTTCCTGACTGATGTCTTGAGATGTTGCTTCAATATAGCCACATAATGTTCCGTCCTCATGATGCCATCTATTTTGTGAGGTGCACCAGTCCCTCCTGCAGCAAAGCACCCCCACGAAATGATGCTGCCACCCCCGTGCTTCACGGTTGGGATGGTGTTCTTCAGCTTGCAAGCCACCCCCTTTTTCCTCCAAACATAACGATGGTCATAATGGCCAAACAGTTATATTTTTGTTTAATCAGACCAGAGGATATTTCTCCAAAAAGTACGATCTTTGTCCCCATGTGCAGTTGCAAACCGTAGTCTGGCTTTTTTATGGCGGTTTTGGAGCAGTGGCTTCTTCCTTGCTGAGCGGCCTTTCAGGTTATGTCGATATAGGACTCGTTTTACTGTGGATATAGATACTTTTGTACCCGTTTCCTCCAGCATCTTCACAAGGTCCTTTGCTGTTGTTCTGGGATTGATTTGCACTTTTCGCAACAAAGTACGTTCATCTCTAGGAGACAGAACGCGTCTCCTTCCTGAGCGGTATGACGGCTGCGTGGTCCCATGGTGTTTATACTTGCGTACTATTGTTTGTACAGATGAACGTGGTACCTTCAGGCGTTTGGAAATTGCTCCCAAGGATGAACCTTATTTTTTCCTGAGGTCTTGGCTGATTTCTTTTGATTTTCCCATGATGTCAAGCAAAGAGCTACTGAGTTTGAAGGTAGGCCTTGAAATACATCCACAGGTACACCTCAAATTGACTCAAATTATGTCAATTAGCCTATCAGAAGCTTCTAAAGCCATGACATCATTTTCTGGAATTTTCCAAGCTGTTTAAAGGCACAGTCAACTTAGTGTATGTAAACTTCTGACCCCACTGGAATTGTGATACAGTGAATTATAAGTGAAATAAACTGTCTGTAAACAATTGTTGGAAAAATTACTTGTGTAATGTCGACTTGCCAAAACTATAGTTTGTTAATAAGAAATTTGCGGAGTGGTTGAAAAACGAGTTTTAATGACTCCAACCTAAGTGTATGTAAACTTCCGACTTCAACTGTAACTACTCCAAAGCTGGGTGGTTGGTAATTTATAGTTTTACAAAGCTATATACACTGAACAAAAATATAAACGCAACATGTAAAGTGTTAGTCCCATGTTTCATGAGTTTAAAAAGTAAAATAAAATAAAAAACACAGAAATGTTCCAAGCTTATTTCTCTAACATTTTGTGCACACATTTGCTTACATCCCTGTTTGTGAGCATTTCTCCTTTGTCAAGATAATCCATCCACCTGACAGGTGTGGCATATCAAGAAGATGATTAAACAGCATGATCATTATACAGGTGCACCTTGTGCTTGGGACAATAAAAGGCCACTTTAAAATGTGCAGTTCTGTCACACAACACAATGCCACAAATGTTTCAAGTTTTGAGGGAGCATGCAATTGGCATGCTGACAGCAGGAATGTCCACCAGAGCTCAAGGAACCAACTGTGCACTGCCACAACACTTCTCATACACACACAGTCCCATCATACCACGTCCTTATCCCCACACACACCTGTTCTTGGCGAGGCGGATCTCTCTCTTCATGGTGGGGTTGCCAGTCTTTTGCTCAGACATTCCTACAGGGGAAGTCATGACCACGGTCTGTTGCGCTGTGGGCGCCGTGCGGATCTGGTACGTCTGCATCTCTCCTCCTGCACCTGAGGGGGATGAGGCCAATCAAAACAATAGATGAGGGCATCTCCTCTTTATAATCTCAACACATTACAATGTGGTCTGCAAGCTGGGATCAGTCCTTTTTTTTTTACACACCTTCAGGGAGGCTTCAGTGACAACGAGAAAACTACTGGGTACTTCTCCTTATGGTATCATCTCAAAGCTTACCGTGAGTCATGAAGCCATACTCACTCTGTACGACCACCTGGTTGCTGGGCACGAGTATCTGCTGTCCGTCGGGCGTCTGGGCGTACTGTAGGATGGTGGTGCCCTGCTGTTGGCCTGAGTTGGTCATGGTGAGAGTCTGTAACCCCTGAAGGCTCTCTGACCCCGTGTTGGCCAGTTGAATGGTGCCGTTAGGGGCAATGGTAACTACAGACAAACAGACAAGAAGTTAGGGCCGATGGTTACTACAGACAAACAGACAGGAAGTTAGGGCCGATGGTAACTACAGACAATAAACACACAGGAAGTTAGGGGCAATAGTAACTACTAGTGATGGGCACCAATATGGAAAGTCGATACCAGATGCTTTATAACGTGTTTTAGCCTGTATGGACATTGTTTTGCGAACAGTAATTAACAGTTTCAACATTTCTACATGCCGTGTTGCATTATTCAAGTGTGTTAGCTCCCTACTCATGCTGCACAGAAGTTAACATGTTACATGGACACAGCAGATCGAAATGGCTTGCATTGAGCGGTAGCCCAGGTTCTCACGGACACAGGAGTATATCTCTTCTGCCTGTGTGACAAGGTCTTGAAGTCTGACATTACTTGAAGCTGTGGTGACTGTCCAACTCCTGGCTGAACCCTACATCACAGCCACTGACAAAGCACATGCCTGCAATCGTAGTGCAGCAGGGGAGAGTGGTTTCGTCACTCTAGCACATTCAGAGATCGATTTATAGCAAACTTGATCAAAGTAATCTAAAATAATAGACTTTCAACAAAAAACACTGTCATAGATGGACAAGATTAACATGAGATGAAAGGCGAGTTCCTAACGAGTTCAGGAAGCCAAGCTAAACGTTCACAGTGGTGGGGGCAGACGTTTTGATCAAGAGAGACCTTTAGAAAATGTGCACATTTTCTCTAACACTAAACATACAAATATGTATTTTACAGTTATAAGGAAGGTGAAATCTTAGTTGTTTTATAATTTGATTATTCTATATTTAGAGAGCATATAAGTAAGTTCAAGCCTTATTTATACAGTTTTGTTCAATAGGAAATACATCAAAATATTTCTAATTTGTATCATATTTGTACTGTGTACTTGAGCTTGTGTCCAAAAGTGACTACACCTCAGCAATTTATAACTATTTTTTGTCAGAAAGGTGAGGTTTCTTGGAGTATGCAGCATTACTAGTTATTTTTTATGGCCCTCTCATTATAAACAATTACTTTAGGCCATCATTGTAAATAAGAAATTGTTCTTAATTGACTTGCCTAGTTAAATAAAAGGTTAAATTAAAATAAACGTAGATTACATTTTAGATTACATTTAGTTACATTTGTCATTAAACTGAGGATTTCATCCATCGACATAGTCGACACACATTTGAGTATGCTTTATGTGGCCTTGCTGTTGCCTTGGGAACACACACAAACCATGTGTGTGTTCCCAATGGTATGCGTCGGGAGCACACACACCATGAACACACCACGGCAGCCATTTTGCACTCCCTGTCCCTTGCGGTGTGGTATATTTTCACAAAACTGCAGTAGCCCATCATTGATGATCCCTTACATTTTTTGACATTTTAGTCATTTAGCAGACGCTCTTATCCAGAGCGACTTACAGGAGCAATTAGGGTTAAGTGCCTTGCATCGACAGACTTTTCACCTAGTTGGCTTGGGGATTAGAACCAGCGACCTTTCGGTTACTGGCACAACGCTCTTACCCACTAAACTACCTGCCGCCCATACTTACTCAACAAGTGCCTGACCACACCTCAGGAGCCATTTTGCACTACCCATCCCCTGCGGTGTGGTATATTTTCACAAAACTGCAGAAGCCCATCATTGATGATCCATTACTTAACAAATGCCTCCAATTCTAACAATATCCAACTGTATAATCTATTTATGATGACAAAGTGATGCATTGGTAGGACGTGTTATGTGGTTGTTGTAGTGCTATGTAGTAGGGCAACCCTTACTGTACTGGCCGCTGCTGGTCTGGTAGATTGTCTGGGTGTTGGGCATTGTAACTGTGGTCATGCCAGAGGAAGCAGGGTTGTCACCCTCTCCCTCGTTCTGTGACGCCACCTCCTCAGCAGACAGCTCATTGAGGATCTTTCTACAGACCACCAGGATAGAATTACCCATTATATGTCTGTCAATTACCTCCTTCTGCCAAAACAACAAACACTGTCTATGCTACAGAATCAAACTAATGAGACTGGAAAATTAATGGAGAATAGGTGGCTCACTATTAAACATCCAAAATGTAACATCAATGTAGCATCATTGTTGGATTTCAGTTCACTACTTCTAAATTGAGATTGACTGTTTTTGCACATCATCATGGATACTATTTAACATCCCAGTCCATCACCAGCAGTGACCTTTGCAGTCTGCACACACTTATTTTCACCATTAAATGGGCAACTTTGGACACAACAGTGCGGTGGCAGCTACCTGTAGGAGGGCCGTCTGGCCAGTATATCTCTGGTCTTCTGGGCGTAGGCTCCACTGTCTGAGGAGTCCTGGGAGTCGTCACTGTCTGAGCCCTGGCCCTGTGGAGGAGAGAAGAGATGCCAGGACATGGTGGGTTACTCATCTACCATGTTTACTTAATACCTAAAATCAGAATGTGGTGGTTCTAGGGTGTACAAGATAGAGATACCCTCCCATCAATCGCACATTTACCCCAGTAATACCATTTGGCAAGATAACGTGTAGGATAAAGGCTAACAGAGATTTAAGTTATGCTAGAAGAACAGGGTACACCTCACTGTCATCCAGAGGCACTGTAGTCCAGGGCCAGTATTCATACAGCATCTCAGAGATGGGTGCTGATCTAGGATCAGGTTCCCCCTGTCCATGTAATCTTGATCAGCACTCCTACTTTGAGATGCTTTATGAACAAGGGCCCAGGCCTAGTTCCTGGTTGTTGAGGAGCTCCTCTTACCTGAACAGTCTGCACCTGTGGGGACTGGATGACCGACGACTGGATCACCCCCTGCACCTGGAACTGACCCCCAGGGAGCTGGACCACCGTCACAGGAGAGCCCCCCAGAGCCATCTGCAAACACACAGTCAGTTTAGAGGGTGACAGGAGTGAATATGCAATCCTGTACATTCAGTATGCTAGTCTGAATGGATCGTCACTTTTTTTTTTTTTATCTAGTAAAAACTCATATCGCTTCCTATCTCACTCATCAGCATAGCAGGTATTTATATGATAGTGTCTATAATGTTACCTCGTCAGCATATTCATAGGGTAGTGTCCTAATGTTACCTCATCAGCTTAGTGTCACGTCTCTCTTCCCCATTTCCTATTAGCAAGCATATGGAATGTCATTCACCTATTCACTTCAGCCTATGAGCATGGCACACTAAGGCAATTCCACCACGGTTGCTGATTAACCTATTGGCTCAATCGTTCAATAATAACTCCTTTCTTTCAATCAATGGGCCTGAATCTAGGGGAGTATTTATGTCAACTCAAACTGCGCTTCAGAGGGCATTTCTGCGTGGGAATTGTTGCTCATTTCACTATCCATGGCATATTTTAGAATTCATGGCTGCTGAGCCGGTAACTGTAGGCTATTCAACAAGTGGAATTATTATAAGGGGTGGACCGCGGCCTCTGACAGATCATCATTGTCCACTATTTCAATTTGCAGAGGATAGTTCTCATCTCCCAGCTCAGTCAAGCACACGGCTACAGGCTACTTGCCCAGCTGACGTTTGTCACTTTAGCCTACCTTTGGTTCTCATTAGTGCATCGCATGTCCCTGGCGGCATTTTGATTCCCCATCATGCTGCCACGTCTAGCAGTTATCCCACGTTAATATAAATTAATTCACTTCAGCTATCAGATCCGGATGGAGCATTGTAAATGCACGTTTACTAGGGGTGTAACGATCCATCTACTACATCGATGTATCGATTTATATTCCTATGATCCAACTACATCGATCTGTGCTCGGCGAGTTGGCCTTTTGGACAACATATATCAATCTAACATCGTTTTAAAATGTAATAAATCGATTGTATCGATACTAGGAAATAACCCATTGGATTTAAGCACGTCAGACTTTATATGGATGTTTTTTCTTAGCACTTTTAATGATAAAGGCTTTAAACATTACTCGATTCAGTCTGCCTATCCGTGACGTCATCGCCCCGCGCCAGCAGCAGCGCAAAGGCGCAAAGACAACAAAACATAGCATGGCGGACGACAGAGGAGAAGCCGACGAGCGAGAAATTATCAAGCCACCATTGCGGTCCTTACAAGAAACAGGAATCTAGGAAACTTCACCTGCACTGTCCAGTATCCAGGTATTTATTTCAGTCACACTGGTTGAATTTTTGGCTAAAAGGTTACTGAATCGATTTCAAGTCACTGAATCGTTTCGGATCGTATCGTTCTAAATGAACCAATATCGTCCTTGAATTGTATCAACAACCACGAATCGTGATTAAAATCGAATCGTTGTTAAAACGAATCGTTACACCCCTAACGTTTACGCATAGTCTCCGAGGCATTTTTAGACCCACTAGGCCAGTCTGGTAAACAATATGTTGTCTTGTGTCAAATGTTCTTTTGCAAGAAGTGCACGGAGATATATCCAAATCTATCGTCTGCAGGGACAAGGGTGCATATATGCTGCTGGTAATGGCTCCCAAGTATAATCCATGCTTCGCCTATTATCTGATGATACTCATCGTTACTCATTGTCACTTCATTCTTATGTTCTGCACGCATTGCATAGTCATTATAATATAGCCACTAGGGAGCCAGGCCCTGCCAGGCCCCCCCCCCCCCCCCCCATACAATCAAATCGTATTGTCATATGTACAGGATAGATGTGATGTAGGCTTCACAGTTCAATGAGATGCTTACTGGTGGCAATCTTGTTCACTCATCAAATCACATTTTATTTCTCACATACACGTGTTTAGCAGATGTTATTGCGGGTGTAGCGAAATGCTTGTGCTTCTAGCTCCGACAGTGCAGTAATATCTAACAATTTCACAACATATAACCAATACACACAAATATGTACAGTGGGGAAAAAAAGCATTTAGTCAGCCACCAATTGTGCAAGTTCTCCCACTTAAAAAGATGAGAGGCCTGTAATTTTCATCATAGGTACACGTCAACTATGACAGACAAAATGAGAAAAAAAATCCAGATAATCACATTGTAGGATTTTTTATGAATTTATTTGCAAATGATGGTGGAAAATAAGTATTTGGTCAATAACAAAAGTTTCTCAATACTTTGTTATATACCCTTTGTTGGCAATGACACAGGTCAAACGTTTTCACACACTGTTGCTGGTATTTTCGCCCATTCCTCCATGCAGATCTCCTCTAGAGCAGTGATGTTTTGGGGCTGTCGCTGGGCAACACGGACTTTCAACTCCCTCCAAAGATTTTCTATTGGGTTGAGATCTGGAGACTGGCTAGGCCACTCCAGGACCTTGAAATGCTTCTTTCGAAGCCACTCCTTCGTTGCCCGGGCGGTGTGTTTGGGATTATTGTCATGCTGAAAGACCCAGCCACGTTTCATCTTCAATGCCCTTGCTGATGGAAGGAGGTTTTCACTCAAAATCTCACGATACATGGCCCCATTCGTTCTTTCCTTTACACAGATCAGTCGTCCTGGTCCCTTTGCAGAAAAACAGCCCCAAAGCATGATGTTTCCACCCCCATGCTTCAAAGTAGGTATGGTGTACTTTGGATGCAACTCAGCATTCTTTGTCCTCCAAACACGACGAGTTGAGTTTTGACCAAAAAGTTCTATTTTGGTTTCATCTGACATTCTCCCATACTCTTCTGGATCATCCAAATGCACTCTAGCAAACTTCAGACGGGCCTGGACATGTACTGGCTTAAGCAGGGGGACACATCTGGGACTGCAGGATTTGAGTCCCTGGCGGCGTAGTGTGTTACTGATGGTAGGCTTTGTTACTTTGGTCCCAGCTCTCTGCAGGTCATTCACTAGGCCCCCCTGTGTGGTTCTGGGATTTTTGCTCACCGTTCTTGTGATCATTTTGACCCCACGGGGTGAGATCTTGCGTGGAGCCCCAGATAGAGGGAGATTATCAGTGGTCTTGTATGTCTTCCATTTCCTAATAATTGCTCCCACAGTTGATTTCTTCAAACCAAGCTGCTTACCTATTGCAGATTCAGTCTTCCCAGCCTGGTGCAGGTCTACAATTTTGTTTCTGGTGTCCTTTGACAGCTCTTTGGTCTTGGCCATAGTGGAGTTTGGAGTGTGACTGTTTGAGGTTGTGGACAGGTGTCTTTTATACTGATAACAAGTTCAAACAGGTGCCATTAATACAGGTAACGAGTGGAAGACAGAGGAGCCTCTTAAAGAAGAAGTTACAGGTCTGTGAGAGCCAGAAATCTTGCTTGTTTGTAGGTGACCCAAATACTTATTTTCCACCATAATTTGCAAATAAATTCATTAAAAATCCTACAATGTGATTTTCTGGATTTTTTTCCCTCAATTTGTCTGTCATAGTTGACGTGTACCTATGATGAAAATTACAGGCCTCTCTCATCTTTTTAAGTGGGAGAACTTGCACAATTGGTGGCTGACTAAATACTTTTTTTCCCCACTGTACATACACTACCGTTCAAAAGTTTGGGGTCACTTAGAAATGTCCTTGTTTTCAAAAGAAAAGCAATTTTTTTGTCCATTAAAATAACATAAAATTGATCAGAAATACAGTGTAGACATTGTTAATGTTGTAAATGGCTATTGTAGCTGGAAATGGCTGATTGTTAATGGAATATCTACATAGGCGTACAAAGGCTCATTATCAGCAACAATCAGTCCTGTGTTCCAATGGCACGTTGTGTTTGCTAATCCAACTTTATCATTTTAAAAAGCTAATTGATAATTAGAAAACCCTTTTGCAATTATGTTAGCACAGCTGAAAACTGTTGTGCTGATTAAAGAAGCAATAAAACTGGCCTTCTTGAGACTAGTTGAGTATCTGGAGCATCAGCAATTGTGGGTTCGATTACAGGATCAAAATGGACAGAAACAAATAACTTTCTTCTGAAACTCATCAGTCTATTTTTGTTCTGAGAAATGAAGGCTATTCCATGCGAGAAATTGCCAAGAAACTGAAGATCCCGTACAACGCTGTGTACTACTCCCTTCACAGAACAGTGCAAACTGGCTCTAACCAGAATAGAAAGAGGCGTGGGAGGCCCCGGTGCACAACTGAGCAAGAGGACAAATACATTAGAGTGTCTAGTTTGAGAAACAGGCGCCTCACAGGTCCTCAACTGGCAGCTTCATTAAATAGTACCAATTTGATCATGTCATGTTGATCTAGCGCCTGTTTGCAGTTTAGGCTTCAAGTTTGGTTTAAAGGATTCGTACAGACAGTGGCAAGTCAAATTCAAGGACTCAAGTACTGAGCAAAGTACAGAGAGATCCTTGATGAAGTTTGGACACACCTACTCATTCCAGGGTTTTTCTTTAATTTTACTATTTTCTACATTGTAGAATAATTGTGAAGACATCAAAACTATTAAATAACACATATGGAATCATGTAGTAACCCAAAAAGTGTTAAACAAATCAAAATCTATTTTATATTCTTCAAACAGCCACCCTTTGCCTTGATGACAGCTTTGCACACTCTTGGCATTCGCTCAACCAGCTTTATGAGGTAGTCACCTGGAATGCATTTCAATTAACAGGTGTGCCTTGTTACCCTATTTGGTAAAAGACCAAGTCCATATTATGACAAGAACAGCTCAAATAAGCAAACGACAGTCCATCATTACTTTACATGAAGGTCAGTCAATACGCAACGTTTCAAGAACTTTGAAAGTTTTTTCAAGTGCAGTCGCAAAAACCATCAAGCGCTTTGATGAAACTGGCTCTCATGAGGACCACCACAGGAATGGAAGACCCAGATTTACCTCTGCTGCAGAGGATAAGTTAATTAGAGTTACCAGCCTCAGAAATTGCAGCCCAAATAAATGCTTCAGAGTTCAAGTAACAGACACATCTCAACATCAACTTTTCAGAGAGGACTGTGT